ACCTGCAAAGTTTCAGTTCAGTCTAATTAAGGATGCAGGTTTGGAAGTTTTTTAAATTTGAATAAATGATTTTCTATTCCAATAATACACAACTCTCTTAAAAAGCTTATATCTTGCAGAAATAAGCAGAAATAATGTTAAAACTTTTTTGCAATGGATTGACGTGGACCGGACACGGATTCAGTGGGAAAATTTTCCGTTTATTACGATAAAACAAAGTTTTTTGACAATTTTTCAGTATTTGATCATACCTTTGAAAAGAAGGCGAAACGTTGAAAATTTGCTGAAACGCAACACGTATACGTGGTCCTAAGGGAGGAAAGTTTCGCTTGGCTCCTGCTAAGGAGATGATTTTGATCAATTTTCAAAGTTGGAACATAGATTCACTTTAACGATAGTATGGGGTTCTATTTAAAAAAATTGCAAACTCTGTACTGAAACAGATCAAAAACTGAATTTTTTTGAGCAGTTTTTTTAATCTACAAAATTTAACAAAGAGAGAGTTTGATATTTGTATTGTATTTTTCAATGACCGGGACATTTGAATAACTTCAATCAAAAAATACTGTTTACTCATTAAATTGAATGGATTTTTTTGTTAATTTTGTATTTATTTTTCTATGGCAATTTGAGATTTATTGGTTGTACCTATAGGGTTGTTTTCTACTACGTTTCTTAATGCAACTTGTTTTAGTCGATTGACTATTTTGTATGGATTATGTTCAATTGTTCAAATGTTCCTTGTAAGTAAGGTAGCACCTGGATTTCCAGGGTTTTTCTCTGTATTCGTTCGCCATATTTATCACAAATCCTTCTGAAATTGGGCTCAAAAATAAGTTCCGCATACTCTCAATTAAATATACTCAAAGATAAACAATATTCGAATAATTTCAAAATATTTACAACCTTTTTTTAAATCCACCTAATTTGGTGGCGTCTTTTCAGTCTTAATTCAATTTTTAACTTCATATCTCTGAAACAGTCAGGATTAATAAAGCGCACTGGAATTAATAGAAGAACATTAAAATATTTAATAAAAAATATAACCAAAATGCGATGCGTTTAAAAAACAGATAGTTTGAAAAATAACCGAATTTAACTAGAACGAAAGAGAAGAATCGTTCCATAAACAAGCCTTAGAACCTTTTAGCGTTATTTATTTTGGAAACGTTCTGGTGAAAGAAAGTTCCAAGTCTTCAACTATTCAGGCATCATTTTTAATCATTAATATCTCGATAGCATCTTCACCGTTTATCGACACTTTTACTCCAGAGTGAGCTCAATAATTACACACTTCATAGCACAAAGTCAAATGGTTCCATCTTTATTCGAAAATTAGCTTTGGTTAGTGAAAATTTGCATTCTGTCGCCGAGTTCCGCTAGAAACGGACATGGTCAATTTGAAACTACAATATAAATATTAAATGCGAATTATTACATTGTATTATAGGCATTTTTTCGGATCTCACTTAACTAGTGCAATTAAACATTTAGCTATAAATTCCCTGAAGGCTTCGCAGCAGTTATTTCAGACCACCGAGCTATAAATCTTGCATTTTACTGATAAATGGCCAATTTGTACTGATGAATGCCGCAGCTTCGTGCTCGTGTTTCAATAATTTACTTTTAAAAGTAGACAAAATAATTAGCCACAATTTCAGTTGATTTAAGTGCGGACGAGAATTGTTTATGGATTATTGCAACTTTTCACGTAGCCGAGTGGCTTAACCGAAGACCGCAAGCACATATTGGGAATCTTATTGTATTGTGGCTTTGTTATTTTGAGAGTTCTTCGAAAACTAAGCGGGTTAATGCAGAAAAGGATGCCAAAGACGTGGATGGCGTTCTCTTTTATTCAAAGTTAAGACTATTTGGTCACTGCAACATGTAAAGTCCTTGATTTGATCATTTGAATTATTAAAACAACATTCAAAACAATAATTTGTTTAGCACATGGTAAATTACAAAATCCAAATAAGGCTGCAACCTGCAAAAATTACCACTTAGACCTAGCCTTGGCTTTATTAAATAAATCCGCCGATAATGACTGTAATAACACATTACAGGTAATTATTGGCCTGTATATTTTCGTTACAGTAGCTGGGGATGTTATATTAGCTACAACCAAATTGATTGATGACTTGAAAGTTTTTTTCATTACGAACGTGAATATGGCTTTGATTAAAAGATATTTTTTTAATTCGTCTTTCTTTCAAGGTGATTTAAATTGGGCTCAAAGCTGATGAAATGCGGCATGAGTCTCGAAAAAACCTAGACAAATTAGTCTAGAGGGTATAAACCAGATATTCATATATTAATTGTGCTCTAACAATTTTTAATACGACTTTGATTGTACAACACATGGGACTTTCTACTTGAACGTTGAAAAGAAAATGAATTATTGCCGACCTATTGTTGGATTAAAATGGAATTAAAAACAAATAATGACTCGGTATTCTTTGACGATATATTAAGGAGACTTATTGCTTTCAAAAGAGTTTGAGACAGGGACTTTATTTCACTTTCCTGATGATTTGTTTGATTGAAAGGCATGCAATGCGTAGAAAGCTTTCGGGTCACAACAATGCGTTATCTATTTAACAGTCGCTTATGTAAGAGTAATTATTGTTGAGTTTATGGTAATTTAAAAACCTTTCACAAAAGACAGACTTCACGAATCAAGCTGGTTTCGGCGAACTCGAAAAAATCAAACAATTTGATCAACAAAGGAACTTTTCTTATGAGCTTCCTAGATAAAACGTGATCATAGTCTTACCCGAAAAATAATGATAGTAAAAGGCACGGTTGCGACTTTTTCTCTTAATTAGTCTCGAAGCCTGTTGTTATTTTCGGCAATGGCAAAAAGTGCATTTTGGGCTTGCCCAACATAACTTTTACCTTCCAGATTACCTACTAGACGTTAGAGTAACGGCAGATTAATCTAGTTTGATAAACTATAAAGTACGTGGATGTTGAGCAATTTTTTCGAAAAGGCCCTTGTTTTGCCTGCACAGCAAGATCTGTTGGAGGATTTTTTGCCAAAAGACTAATGTAGATTTAAATGATACCGTAACATCAATTTGTGCTCTGGTTTACATTTTTTTTCTGCTAAAATAGGACGAGTTATTAGTTTGGAGCGACTGCAACCAATCTCTACGTAATTGTTTTTGTTTATACAAGATGATTCAGGAAGAAATCATTTTTTAGCCCCATTTAGGAACATAACACTAATTTTCGTTAAGATTAGAGTTTTTCAATGGATTCGAAACTTTTGATGCTAAGCAAGAACGCAATTTTTATCGTCCGTTTAGTTTTAACGTATTCTGCGGCAATCAAAATAAGGTGYACARTTCTTTCATTTTGARTAGGCTTRTRGGGATGATTTTTTACATTTCTGGAAGATCATTTAGATGRAACATTAGGCAAAGTTTCTGTAAATATAGTGAAGTGGCTTCGAATTTTGGTGACTCCTACATCAAAATGGGAGTTAATGTTTTCGRAAAATTKKTATAAWTTAATTGTTTGCTTTTMTTTGTTGAYTTTYTTAGAGTTTTTTGTTCGTTTTTAAATAKMAATTATTATAACAATCTCTGAAGCAAATAAAACTCGCCCTTGMACATATRAGCTTATTGTTCTTCTKTTTGTTTCCTACACATTCCTACACATACCCTTAAAAYTTTTYCAATTCCTTGYGAATCARCCTGTATTTTGTCACGATCTTTGCCCAATAGTAAAGCTCGAAAATTTAATAGTCTATAGWGCATTGAGAAAGAATGACTTAACAATTCCAAAAGACTGAATTGTCATTGGAAAATTCGTTTGATTTCGTTTCAGGAGAATTGTCTCGTTTTTTTTGTCTGTCTGAATTGTCTCGAGTTTCATTTGCTTCACTAACCGGATTTTCACCTTTAAAAGGCTCCTGATATACAAAATTTTCAGTAATGTGGACAAACGTTTGTTTAAAACTGACTCATACTTTCAGAAGTCAGGGCTTAGAGTCAAAAGGTAGACCGACAGGAAGAACTGGAAAATCGCTAGAGTTTTAACTCCCCCCTGTTCATCATTTATAATCGATCGCTGTAGATTTCACCGAAAAATTTTATGGACACGCTTACATATCGAGCATACAGGGGAGCAAAAATTATCTTTATAATAATTTTAATTTTTTCATCAGTTTTGCATTTTATCCTTAAAGCAAAAAAGTCGCTATCAGGAAATAAAAAAAAATCTTTTCCGTGTTGAAAAATTCCCCGAGATTTTCCGTTATAGTCAAAATAAAAATGAATTGATCCAAGTTCGAAGCAAATTTCGTTTAGCACAGTCAAACTTAACTTTTCTGGTAATTATAATGTTTTAATGGGCAACAAGTGCGTACACACTTGCGACTATTATTCAATAATCCGATTTACGTTCCGCAATTGGTCCCTTTCATTGAACTTTCTTAGAACTAAATGGATTATTTTTCCATTTAATGTAACAATGCAGCGCGCAAAAAAACTATTAATTCTTTAATTCACAATTTCAATTGAGGTTCTCTTCATTGATTTCCACCCGGCTCGTGCTGAGAGCCGCGTTCGACATGGTTTTCTATCTATAAATTAAGTTTGATGTGTAAAGTCGCTGTTGGAACATTCAGTAATAAGTGCTTTCTATTCCGTGACAAATGCAAAGTACTTACGATTTTTTTCAGGTGCACAATCGAATAAACCGGGTCTAAAACGTTTGATTGAGTAATGCGGTACCCTGCAGCTATGAGTTACTTCAATTTGATCAATTAAAAAATGCATTCTACAATTGCTTTTGCTGTAAAAGCGTCATGGATTGTTTTTCTTCCTTAGATATTAATAAAAAACAGGAAGCACTTTCAAAGGAAAATTGGAATAATTGGATATTAAAAGACTTTTTAATTTGAAGACGAAAAAAACTGTAGAAATTGTGGTTCAGTTCAAAATCTCGCATTTCATCTGTTAGAAATATGTACATATTTTGTATTGTTACAGGGATTACTTTCGGCGAATTCAGTCTGCTGGTGGAATAACGCCTTAAATGGGGCCACCAAAAGCCTGACTTATTATGGTTACGTGAATCCAGGAGCTTTGCTGGTAGGATCAGAACCTTGTGCTCTTGAGGTGCTCAGAAATGCTTGGGCTCGAAGAGTGCTGCAACCACCACCGGGGTATCAAATCGTTGCTTTAGGTAAGACAATTTTAGTACATTGTATCAATTATAATTTTTTGAATTATTGTTGAAAAGTTCCTTACAAACGAATGCTTATTCGTTTTTCGGGAAATACTGGGCGATATTTTGTAGATCTCAAGCTACTTTGACTGTGAGATTGGCACATGTTTAAAGAAGTTAATAACTGCGTCAATGCTGTGCTGATTTTATTAAAAGTAACGTTCAGGATGTTCCTTAATGGTGCTATGCAAATTTATCGAATATCGGGTCCTAATTCCAGAACAAAGAGTGAATTAAATATGGACAAAATAATGTTTGCTTGCGGTTAAGCCCGTTAACTATTTATGGCTGCTGATTCAAATTTTTGGAAGCAAGAGACACAAACTTTGTCATTTGCTTTTGTTAAACAGTTTGTCATTGTTTTTTACCCAATTTAGTTAGAGGCTGAATTTGGGGACAAAAATTGAATACAATCGTCAGAAATCAACACTTATTTGCTTAATTTTACGTCATTGCTGGTTCAGTTTTATATTTTGGTAGAGACTTGGAAGATTGAGAGAGGAAGACTTACTTATGCGGATTTTACTTAAGGTGCGTTTATTGCGACGAAAAAGTGGAATATTTTGAATATCCGTTTTTGTGCTCTTCTTATAATATTAAGCTTTTGAAAAATGTTAGGAAAAAGAAGGAATTAAGGAATTAAAATATAAAAAATCTCTGAAAAGTTTAGCTTAAAATTAGCAAAAGGGTTAGTTCAAGATTAGCGCTTAATTTTGAAATAAGTTTATTTTGGTCACAAGGCTGGTTTGGACGCGAAACACATTTTTTACCAAAAATTCAGTGTCGTACCCGAAAGACTCGGCACAACATTTGCATTAGACTTTTTTATAGAAAAGTTGTGCCTTTCGGACACTGATTTGGACGCAAAAAACACTCCAAATTTGCAGATTGAACGCTTTTTGTCAAAACATCAGTGCACAACAATCGGAGTAGAGAGTTTTAATGTCAGATTTACCTCGACGAAAACAAGTTGAAGCTGAAGACAAAACAAAAAAAAAGTCTCCTGTTGATGCGACAAAACACCGCTTTTTAATATCTTTATGCATTTTTTTACGTTTTACTTATGCATCCACTTTTAATATACTTTATTACTTGAAGGGAAAAAAGAAGGGAAAAATTTGATCAAGTTTGTCAAGAAAAAATCGTCTTCAACTAAGAAATATACCAGACATCAACGAAACGAAGCCTTGTGTATAAATCAACTGCTAATAACCAATTACCATAATGATTGAAAACTACTTGAAAAAAACGAACTCCCATCCTTCAGCGAAATTCCTTTATAGGATCACTTAAAAAATTCCCATCCCAACAGGAATTATTATTAATATTCTCAAACGGTTTCAGATGCCACAAGCCCAGCATTGTTGAGTATCGGTAACCTGTTAAAATGTATCTCTATACTAAAAAATCTGGGCACGTTTTCCTCTCTATTACATATTCTTTTCTATTGCGTAATATAACCAATCTAAGCCCATTATGGAGTTCAGCTATTAAACAATCGATATTTAAATGCCATCCTCAAGAGGAAATAATTCATAATGAATGTCGTGGCATTAAATTAATTCTCGGTCGCAACTACTTTTTCAATATGGAATGTTTGTTTACACGACCTTATTGGTATGCAAATTTTTTCAATCCGATTTAGTTCCATTGCGGAAATAGGCACGTATATGCAAAACAATGTGATTTTTTAGGGCTTGAAAATGAGTTCGCAATTTGATGTGGCATTAAATGTGACTTTGATTCATTCGGGATGGTGTCGTCAATTCACTAAATTCAGTGATCATTTGTATGCAGCCGGTTAGATTTTATGTTTATTCTTTATTTAAATTTTTAATTCACTCATCCAAAACCAGTCAAGTTTTTCAATGGCGGGAAAATTTCAAGTCAGATGATATTTTGTTACAATTTGGCATCTATCGGCTAAAAGAAACATTTTTCTCCAATTTTCTTTTACAGATTTCCGTCGTTAAACCGTCCAGAGATTTACTTCCGCGTAGCTGTTCTTGCTTACCCCAGTATAGAAAAACTTCCACGTTAAACAATTTGAATTTCTTTAGCACTTCCAAACAGGAAACACGACGAATAATTATCTCAAACCGCTTATAAATAGTTGCAGTGAATTTTCCGCATTTTGTGAACAATTGGATTCCAATTAAATATATATCACTGTGATAAAAATGCATTTATTACATAATTATAGGCTTGGCTTAGGCATGGACTGCTACACATACATATCAGTTACATAAATTATGCAAAATGTTTTTTAGCATACACTAAGCAATTCATTTAATTGCCTGATGTTATCGCTTAATAGCGAAATGTATACAAATCTGCATGTTATTTAATTACTTCTGCGGCACTTTACAACAATGGTATTTTTCATGATTAAATGGCGTTGTCTCAATCGCTATTAGTCGACTGATGTTAATTGAACGGGTTTCGAGCAGAATGCTGATTATTTAACTTGAAAATCAGAGAATGTCTTAATATCTCTTTTACATACATAAATAAATGTAATTAGTAATTGTACAAGTAAGAAGGGTAGGAACTAGAACTTTTAATCACCTTCCGAGGCTTTTAGTACAATCTGCGAGTGATTTTAACTTGGAAATGTAGACAACAAATCTAGCAATATATGCTTTAATATGAATCGGAAATAAATCTTGAACATCTGAAGTGGATACATTTCAATATTTCCATTAGTGTTGTTAGTGTTCCACAGTACATTGATCCATTGATCAAGCAATGTTGGTATTTGCAAAACAATGCCCAAAACTATTAAAACTTTAGACGGATTTCCTGGCGTTTGATAGTTTAAGACTTTTTTCTTAAACGTTCTTCAAATTTTTTATTTCAAATTGGGGTGCTCACACAAATTTTAAAATATGAGTACATTTTGAGAAATACTTATATAATAAATCAAATTGAAATAATCTTCAAACAATATCAAATAATCTGGAATGCTTGTACTATTAAGAAACTAAATTGAAAAGCCTTCAAAACTTATTCCATACTTTTCTGGTTCATTTTCCACATTTTTTTACTTTTGTGAAACCAACTTTTCTGCTCATACATATATCTCTAAATTCGTTTCCGAATGATTTAACTAAAACAGTTCAGAAAAAAAGGCAGAAACTAAATTCAAAGGCCTTGAAAACTCTTATTTCACATTTTTCTGGATCATTTTCCATATTTTTTTAACTTTTGTGAAACAATTTTTTCTGCTCATATAGGAATTTCTATCCCAGAACGTCATAAATGTCTGGAATAGAAAGTATGCAAATTGCAAATTTCGGTCGAATAATCTAGAATAAAAATATCGACGAAAACTTTCATTTATTGGTGATTAAGGCAAATTTGAACAATTTCATATGAAAAAAAGTCTTGCAAAATTATTGCTTAATATTTTGAAAGCTTAAATTGAGAAAGTGTATCTTCGGGCTTTCGTTATTTTCGTTTACCGCGTCAAATTTGTAACTGTCGTAATTTTTTTCATTTTGATAAATGTCGTAAATTTCTATATTCAGAGAACTTTTGATTTTACTTCAACCAACTTTATTTGATTTTATTGATGGATTAACTTTACGTTTTTTAACTTTCCTACTATTCTGACCAGACTGTTTTCCTTTAATCAGCACAGGTCATGGCAGAATTTTGCTAGTTACATTTTCTGCGTTAACTTAAAATGCGTTTCGAAATGCAGTTTGCAATATACGTTTGCTATTTTTCTTGTTACTATAGAAAGCACTCAATTTTCATCAGTAATGTTCTGATACATTTTCAATCTATTTTGGAAATAACCGTCCTTTCAGTCAATTTCTCACTTATTTGCGACCTTTTTCTGTTGTGCTGTTTTATCATTTTAATGTCCTGGACATAAGTATTTTTGTAGAAATTCCTACATGTTATTGTAGATGTTAGTTTTTTATCTCAATGTTCTATAGCTATTTGTAAATGAATTAACTGCTTGGTTTATTAATGTTTTTTACCTGATTCATTTCATTGTCAATTGTTACTCGTGCCTTAAAAACCCTTTCAGATTTTGCATTTACCGATTCCCACTTAGTACACCAACCGAATTTTAGTCCGCTTCTCTCATTGTAAAATGCCCGTTTTTAAAAAAAAATTATAACAAAACTAATATAAAATTTATGTTGAATTTTGAGCTTTTCCTTTTCGTTCATGTGCAAGTTCCTTCTAATGCATTTTTTTTTCTCTTTCACCCATAAAGAAAGTAAACGAGGCACTACCAGTTACCCGTTTTATTATAGTTCCTTTACTTTGCATTCTAAACTGTTTCCGTTTTATTACCCGAAGCAACATAAGTGCATAGTCAAAACATGAATTGTATACATAAAAGTTAATAGGAAACGGGAGAATAATACACCATACACCATTACCAGAGGAATAGAATTACCAAAGAAATTAAACTCAGCTATAAATCACTCTAGCATTTTGCTTCGTTTTTTTTTCTGCGAACGTGTAGAACTGATCGTTACTTCAACCTGTACACATATTGGCCAGTGAACTTCGGGTCAAAGCGTTCGCTTTGTTTTTACAATTTAAATGAAACGAACTGAAATTACTTGATCTCCCAACATATGCCTGCCCCTTGGTAATAAATCTTCAGCGCGTAAGTTATTAATGATGATTGAAGCGTATGGAGAGGAGTTAATTGGGACCGAAGCATAAATATTCCCTGTTCATATTCCCCACTCATGCTAAAAGAGCTTCTAGCTGCACATTTCACATTGCTGCCGCGCCTTTGTTAGCACACTTATTTTGTTTCGTCCAGTGATTTTTGGCTACGCACTTTCTAACAATTCGCAGAAATTATTGCCCATAAAATGGTCTTTTAGGTAGCCTAAACGGACACTTACAAGAACATAAAACTGAGCATAAATATTGCCTGCAAGTAGAAAGTTGCATTGAAGCCGCAAATTCCTACGCAACGCTCATTTATTGTGAATTTAGCTAAAATCTACTTTTAGAAGATTTTTTGTAATTTGTCTGCAAATATTCGCAAATTTCCAGATGGTCTAAGCTTTTGATATTATTTTTTTGTAGAGGATATCGAGCATTGTAGCGCAACTTCAGTGCTTCAGACGCAATGGACTCCACTTCCAGAAGCCGTATGTGCAGTAGTTTTAAGACTATCTAGTCAAGGAAGACCGGCTGGGATTGAAACTATTCGAGAAGCCTTAATATTGGCTTTTCCTCATGTCTCACCTCCAAGCGAGCAAACTTTGTACGACACTTTGGTTCAGTTGACCAAAGAACGAAAACTCTACAATACCTCTAGTGGATATTACATTGTAACACCTGAGTAAGTATTTATTCTGACATTTTAAAATAAGATAATTTCCATGGAAGACAACAGAATGAGGGATGGAAGAATTCACTCACCAAACGCTAGTTCTGTGCGAGATTTTCAAAAATGTTTTACCTTCCAAAACACCTAATTTAATTAGTCTAGTGCAAGATTTAAAATTAGGGTTTTCATCATTGTTCAAGCTGAGATTTGTAGGAATTTTATCTAAAATTTGTATACAAACTGCACATGGAAAATGTTTGGAATAACTAGCAAGGCAATGGAAATTCTGGAGGAAATTGAGGTAAAAGTTGGTAGCAGGCAAACTGAACTGTTCAGTATAAATTCGATTACGAGCAATGAAAGGTGGCTAAATGAAGACATTCAGCAATCAACAACAGGATCAGGCTACATCATGCATATTTTGCATGAAAATACTAAGATCATTGAGTGTCTGGAGTTGTTTTCCAAACATACAGTACCACTCAAATAAATTAATAAACTTTTACTTGAAACGTAGAAGGAAAAGATCCAGAAGCCAGTCGAGAACCCGGACACGAAGAGACCAAGACAATGGCTTTGATTTTCCCGTACCCAACAAAACAATGCTCATGTCTACAGAAGAAGCGATGGCAATGGTTCATGGCGATATGAGCACTCTTAGAGATGGAAATGTTACTCATCAGTGTATCCAAACCAATTTGGCTGATGTAATCTGTGGCGGTAAGTAATTGCATTTTCGGGTTCCAGAAAACATTCGTCAATACGCGCACTATGCAATTTTGCATTTGAAATTAGTACTGGACTTTGTTTAGTTATCAAGATGATGAATGTTTATGAGCTCCTAATTGGTGTGATTAGCTACATTTGCTTTAATTTTTCGATTAAAAACGCAATTTCATAATCGACCGGAGACAAAATGATAGAAATTCGTTTGGTTTGCAACTGAACAAAGGTTTAAGAATCATTAGTGAGTTTAGAATGGTTTATTTGGACTTCTATTGTCTTACTTCAATCGTTTAGCTTCTCCATTATCTTCTACTTTCGAATCAATGTGATTTGGCAAATTTCAGCGTTATTCTTCAATTGCAAAATGTTTAACCTCCGACTGAAAAAAAGCGAATTGCAAAAATTGGACGAGTTATCGATGCTGCAAACATGTTTGAGTGTGCGATGGATTTTTGTAAGATTCTAAAAATTTGCAGGAAATGCTAGCGACAAAATCATGTACCCGCGAACGAAAAGAAGGTCATCGTCCTTTCCAGCACACCGAAGTCCAGATCGTCGAGGTTCGTTCCGTTTGTGGAGCTCGAACAGACGACTAAGACGATCGGCTTCGACCAGAACGATTCACAAGCATTACGCTGATACTAGCAGTAGTACGGAATATCCGAATAGCGGAGATTCTACACCAACACCAAGTAATTACTTTGTTCATTTTAGGAAGCCATACAGAAATTTCCAGTAACAATTTTTTAATCGCTTTGCAGAAAAAGAGTCACTTCTATCAAGGATATTCCGAAGATCCAAACGCTCGCAATGCCAGATTGGGACCTTCAGCGCCCAGTTTCCGCCCACCGAGTGGTTCAATTCCAAAGCCGTCCATCTGCATAGTGTTGGCACGCAAACTGCAGCTGAAAAGGTAAACCTGGCCAGAAAAACATCCGCAAAACCCATCTAACTTTGCTTTGCAGGACTCAGGAATCGACATTTCGGCCTATTTGGAGACCTGCGAAATCAGCGCCAGATCAGCTTCACTTCCACGCCATCATCGCAGGCAGCTATCCAGCGACGTCACTCTACCCACATCCCTAACAGCTTCAAGGGAAAACTCGCCGTTATCCAGATTTCCTTCTTCCTATTCCAGCAGCACTTTGCCAAGAAAGCACGGGTTGAGAAGCAGGGACAGTTCGAGAAAAGCGAGCCGGTCCAGTTTGGGAAGACCTTCGTCTAACAGCACTGAAGCTAAAGCTGAAGCTGGTCCAGCAAAGGACAAATCCAGTGCTAATTCACCCAAGCCAGACAGTGCCAATGGGGAACAATACAAAACTAGTCAGAAACACACTGCTTACGAGGCATCTGAAAGCGCTGGATCAGCTTCACCAATCAAGCACTTATCAAGCATCGATAACAGTGGGCCGAGCAGTATAGAGTCCCATAAAAGCAGCCGAACGGGAAGTTCTTTGACCAGCGGTCCCTCCAGCTTGGAAAGCCATAAAACCGTCATCAACCGAAACGCAACTACAGACTTGATAAAGCCCGATGGAAAGTCTCTGAAGAGGCAACTGAAAAAGGATGTAAAGCGAACAAAAGTGCTGACCAAAACCAATGGAACCACAGCAGGGATGAATCACAGCAACTCCTTCACTCTTGAAGTTACCACGAAGCAGAACGGCGTGACTATCGGCAACACTAATGCAACAGCAACTGCAACTATCAACACGGGAAACGCTGCAGGAGGAAACACGAAAATTTACGTACAAAACTCTCCAGTGAGGTCGGTGATTACCTTTGAAAATGGGCGAGAATCCCACAATCCGAATGTGGTTGTTATTAATGGGGATGTTCATGCTGAGACGCAGTCAAGATCTGCAGTTTCCGAGCAGGAAAAGCCCGCGAAAAATACCAACAAGGATTCACAAGTCAGTTTGAATAACATCAAGGAAGACGCGGTTAACAACGAAAGTATGAACAACAGCAGGAAGCTTTCGCTGCAGTTGCCAACGAAAGACAGTCTGAATTTTGAAAACTTGATTAAAAACGACGTGTCTTCCCATAACCAGTATATTTCCAGCTCGAATCCGGACTCGCCAGTAGCCAATTCTTTCAGGGATTTTTCTCTAAAGAACTCGGTTTACAGCAGTAACCCATCCAGCCCGACGAAGAGCTACGAAGGGTTTCCGTTAAGCAAATTTTTCAAAAACGACGTCACCACAGTGGACAGCAAGATTTTGGACAAGAATTTCATCGGTTCGGAACCGAATATTTACTACAAAGACATGCCATCTCCCAGAGATACTCCTAAGCAACAGTTTCCTAGCCTAAGCGATTTGTCTTTTAACTTCACCAGTTTGGCTGCTCAAAAAATCTTAAAAGGGGTCAGTATTAATAGTGTGGACACTCTGGTAGAGTTAAGTATGGCGGCGAACAATATGGAAAAACAGAACAACTGCGAAGTGGTACGCACGGATTTTGGGCTCTTTTAAAACTGGGGAAAATATTCGAGGGTTGGTAGTAGCTAATGGATTTTGGGACCGTATTAAAGCGCGCCGTAAATTCATTAACACCATCGTAGTTGTCCAGTTAACTTGTGGTAGAAAGTCCAGTTCAGTTCATCCAAACTCATACATACTATGTCAACTTTCTGATGGAAAGTTTGCGTTAGGATGTAACGAAATTAACAATACGAGTATAGAATAACCACTGCAGAGTTTGTAACTAATACCTTAGATATTACAGGTCAATTTTTGTAATATTTTGTATATTTATAATAATTTGTGTATGATACAAAACATTGTGTAAACATAGCCATTATGTACAGAGTATTAATAAATGTTTGTACAATTTTTATCCGTTTTATTCCTGCATTATTATTATTAGATTTACTCTGTACAGTTTAGCAGACAACGTTGGCAAAATCTAATTGAAAACGTAGGTTTTGCATTTGATTTATTCCCTTTTGAGAAAGGGATAGTTTCAATTGCATGAAAGCATACAAAGCGGATAGTTAAATTGGAAACAGCAGTTCAGTTTTTTTCTGCTAGAAAAATATCTTTTTTGCATTCGGTTCTACAAGAATTGAAAAACAACCAACATTTTCAGAAACAGGATATTCTGTCCTAAATGTAAAATAGTCTGGTCTGGAAAGTTTTTATTGATTTTTCTGACTACTGTTCAATTAATTGTCCTTTATAACAATCGACTATTTATTCGACAGTGTAAAGATAGTTCAAATTTTTCGTTTTCTTTGGTTTACTTGATAAACAGTCAAATATCCGCCTGCACCGACTTTGCTCGACCTGTTTTTTATATATTCACAAATGTGTTTATAAAAGAGTTAATTCACAAAAGAGTCCAGGACCGCTTTGTGTAAAAATCATTTTTCTAGAATTAACTGATTTTAGTCCAGGTTTTAATTAATGTCAGAGTATATCAATATGTGTGTTTTTTTGGCGTTTTTTGAAGAAAGTAGAAGATAAAGCAATAAAGTGCATTCCTATTCCTTATAAATCATCAGATGAGCTTACTAAAAAATTTATGAAAAGACCTGCAACTCAAGACATTATGAGAAAATGTGAGAGTATTTTGAAACATAACTTATTTTGCAAAAATCTGTTTACTAGAATTTTTTTAGGCAGAAAGACCGATTGGGTCGATAGCCTTTTTCTGTAGGAAATAAAGATTATTTATATATATATATAGAATTTTTTAGAGTATTAACTTGAGAAATACATAAATGTTTCGTCTACATTTTCTAGGCAACATTTATGACAAATGTATTTTGCAACAATATGGTTTACTTTCTAGTTTATCAATCTGAATATTTTGCAACAGCTGATTCTTTTTGACCGGAATTTTTGAATTTTCAATTATTTTTGGACGTAAGTCCTAAATCTAACTAAGTAGCTTCTTGGACGTTGGATGGTTCCAAGTCTTATATAATTTTTGAAAATAATCAACTTCAATTATCAATTTGCAAATGCAACTGGACAGTTATTCTTTTATGTCAATATTTTATACTCCAAATGCATGAAATGTTTTTTCAAAAGAACAAAATTAAACAAATAAATGCGACTTTTAAATGTTTTGATTTTGTCACTTCTTAATAAAACACGCTGGTTTTGATACAGCGAAGCTGAAAGCAAGATTTGTGTAAATTATATAATATAATTATATTAATAAATAAATTCGAGCCCTGGTGAAAAAAAAAAGAATTGATATTATTGAAAGCACTAGAACAAATACACATAAGATAAAAATCAGTTATATTAACAGACAAATAAAGAAAATTATCAAATGAGATCCATTATGATGGCTCCAGATAACAACATAATTGTTAGTAAATGACTAAGGTATTTAAAACACTGTACTTTTATGCAAATTATATAGAAAAGTACAATCTTAAAAGTAAAGAGGAAGAAGAAAATAAAACAGATTCTAATTTTCTAACGAAAAAACTATCTGTTCCCCTACCAATTTAAAAATATTTGGCACATGTTGAATAATTGAAAACCCATGTGCAACTTTGCCTTTCGATGTTGAATTGTTTCGTTAATTTCCCTAATTGCGCTCCCAAACCTAACCTGACCATAAGAAGGTTAAAACCATTTTGAAATTATTTAGATTTGGCACGAATTTTTATCAGCCTTTGTTTGACTAATCCATGCTTTTTTGATCGAATGCGTGACTGCTATACGTGTTCCACGCACATTTAAATTTTCTAAAGGTTTTTTTATTGGCAAAAACAAACTACCACTGATCGAAAACGGGATAGGATTCAAGGGACAGCCGATCCTTAACAGAAAACCTGTCTGAATGGAACGGACAACAGCAGACAGTGTTTTTTAACGAGGATCCGCAGAGAAAAGGTGTCCTTGTTGTTCAATTTTCCACATATTAAACCGGTTGATTCTCAAACAAGTTAATGGCTGTTGGAATCAAAGAGCGCTACAGTCAAAGCTAATTAAACCTCAACCAGAAAATTATAGCGCATGCACTTTTGCTATTATGTAAAATAACACTCCTTGTCCAAGTTTCTAATTACGAAAGTGCCTCATTCAAAGCAAGATGCTTTTCAGGTGGTATTAATTGGTGCAATTGAGCTTAATATCCACTAAAGCGTGCGCCGATAGTAATATAATTACCTAATCAAGTTCAAACGCAAATTCAATTTTGAGTGCTAATTGATTCAAAATATTTTGAATTGCAAATGTTTCACGGAGTTCCAGTCGGCCAAAATTAATTTGTTTCAATTCGCGCTTTTCGACGAGATGCGGCTTGATTTGCGAGAAATTTTAGTCTTTAGCTGTTGACAATTGACCTGGTTTTTATTATTGTATTTGAAAGATTAGTGGGAAGAGATTTTGGGATCAAGCTTTCTTATTTGAGTGAGCATTTAAGTTTTTCGAAGAACCTGTTGGAGTTTTAGAGCAAAGACATAAAATTTCAACTTAAAAAAAATATTGAGTTTGAACATCATAAAAACTGGGTGAACGCAAATTTGCCTTTTTGTGTGTGCGTCTTCCTTGCGACGAATATAAAAAGAGATTTTCTACACAAATGGATAAATTTGGAGATGGATTGATAGATGGATTGTTTCGGGTCAATATACCCTCCCGGCGCGTTACTTGGGGAATAATCCGTATTGTTTTGAAGTGAGACGATACGGAGGCAACTGGCTGCCCGAAAACCTTTATTTTCCTAACAATTATCATGGTAAAATGAGCATTTTTGAGCTATAAAGCAGCATTTTTAAGGTAGAACTATGCTGATACCTCCTAATAAACAACTTCACTAATTCCTCTGAAAATTAACTCGACAAAAAGCGGAGCTTCAGGAAACGGTTTGTGTATTCGATTTTCGTTTGTTACTTTTTGGCCGACTAATGCATCTGTTTAAAGCACTCTACTTTGAAACTTGGCCAAGTGAAACTTGTCATGATCAAGACAAATATGGCCGAGAAACTTTGATGATAAATTCAACTTCAGGAGGATGTAACAGGCTTTGGTTCTGGCGCATGGTCACTCATTCTAATAAAAGAGCGCGTTTTCGCGGAATGGGCCCAATTCTCAGTTTACTGCGCGAAGGAACGAAGAGAAGACCGTGCTGGTCGACGCTAGTATGACATCGAAAGCACGTGCCGATGTGTATCAAAGTGACTTTCTAAACTAACTTTTTATGCTCGAAGTGTAAACTCAAAAGTAAGCAATTTCCGCCTATAGTTTTTGTTGAAATCTGTCGATGATATTCAGGATTAAAGTGTGTAACAAGCCAAGAGAAATTATGAAACATTTAAAATTCTTAATGTTTTTTAGACCACTAATGGCTTTAATTATAGTTAAAATTCCTGGTATGTATTTGCTCACTAAAATTCAAAAAGTATTTCATACCAACTAAATTTTTAAAAATAAATTTTTCCACAAAATATAATAAAGTGTGCATCATACGCGTGTAGATTATGAAATGCCATAATATCATGATGCAAATAACTAAATAACCAATAAAGCGCCCCGCGTTTTGAAACATTTTTTGCAAAGATATTTGTCGCGAATAAATGCAAATGATTCAAAATTGCTGAATTGATACAATGCAAATGATGAAAAAATTAATTTCTTTATTAAATGCAACGAACAGAAAATGTGCCTTCTGTGCTTAAACGCGTTATATGCATAATTTGTGCATCTTTTGCCAAATCATTTATGAATTCGACTGATTTCTCGATCGCCTTTAGTGCTTTTATGAAATGCTCTAATGCCTCTTTGTGGCGCGCCGCATTATCCATCCCTTAATCCGGATAGGAGATAATGGTTCTCAATTTACCAGTAATTCGTTTTGTTGAAGTACGCGAAAGGAGATAAGGAGACGTTGTTATCAGCTTCTTTTCAAGTCGGAGAGAAGGCCAGATGTGGCTTGTTAAATTTGTCAATATCGAACCACTTTGGTGGCTCTAAAATTCACCGGGATGGGTAGTGTTACATTCGCAGCACATTTGAATAATTTTCCACTCTCACAGAGGCTATTTTTAGCCGCTTTTAGAGGGCTTGAAATATGCCAAGTAGTCATCCAAATCCAATCTTTTAGTGACCGAGTTAATCGGGCCTCATATTTCAATCACCTGTCCGAACCATCCAATTATTTCCGAACAATCAAGTTGTCAATCGAAAGCGGAAAGCTCACGTTTTAAGTTCAAACTTTTCCCGGTTTACAGTGGACAAAAAGCTTGTCATATCAATAACGCTGAATTAAATGCTAGATAAATGATGCGGAATATTGAAAGAAGATTATATCGTGCCAGCTAATGACTGATGAAATTATTCATACAGCGTGACATTGATTAGGTGGAAGGATTAATTAATCTAATGTGTGATAAAATTGAGAAAATGTTTAAGTAGTCAATTTGGAATCCAGTCCAAAGAAAAATCAATAATTTTCTTAATTTATTTAATATAAATCGATGGCGGCTAATGTTTTAAATCCCCTATTTGTATCGACTTGGCCTGGACTTTTTGCGGTTGGAAATTGTGGCATTTTAGTTTAGTGGATTGCATTTAGTGCAGAGTTGACGCAAAAAAAATAACAATAAAGTAAACAAAGCCAATATTGCATAAATTTAGAGTATAATATTTACCTTATCTACAACAGTCTACTCATCAATTGACTTCTGACTGAAGATAGAGCCAGTCATTGCCTTTGTGCAAATTGAATCAAATCATAAACAAAATAGCGAATAAATTAATTTAGAAAAATCCGTTTTCCCCATTTCATACTTCCGATTTTTGACTGAAGTTTTAACAAGCGAAATTTTTTCCACATAATCCATATACTGTGGTTCATTATCATGCAATGCAGCGCTTACTAAGACATCAGTCTGATATTCAACAAAATTATTCCAAATTCCCAAAGCCTAATTTAATCTAAACATAAGCATTGCGATATCACTTGAGCGTAAAATAGACGACAAGGACCAGCAGCAAGCAAACAAAACCCTTCCTTCAATATTTCCACTAATGGGCAAAGCTCTATTCCCTGTCCTGTGTGAGTTATTTTGTTTCAATTTAAATGCGGCAGGTGAAACTAATAGTAGCATGTGACAGTATGGCATGGCGTTCAAGGCATATTTTCGCTCCATTAACCGCACCTTTGTTTCCCCATCACAAGATAAATTGTGAAAGGGAACATTGCACGTTCTATAATTAAAGCTGACCTACGTGCCTCTGGAAGCTGAATTAAAACAATGAAGTTTGTACGTCATTGAACTCTAAGGGAAATTGATCCAAATTGAAACGTGTATCAGTTTTTAACTAGTTCCGGTTTTTATGCCCGCATCTATTGGGTTGAGGCGAATCAAGCACGGATACCTTAGTGAAGCTAAATGATAATCCTGAAACGTAAGAAAATCCTTAAATTCGTTTACTCTGCGCAGCGTGCTCCTCATTTATTTTAATATAAAAAGACAGGCAAATATTTCATAAATAGTTTCTTTTGTTATCTCAATCAAACAATGATTAATTTAAAGCCCACTCGGCTACACAAAAATAATTGAATATTGTTGAGAACTCAAATTATTACCATATGTGCATCATACCAACACACATTATGAGAAGCGATATTTGAACTAAATATTTAATCAAGCGGAAAATAAATTTATTTGTTAGCGTTATAAATAATTTTGTCGCAAACATGAGCGAACGGTTATAACTGCTTCATCCCTTCATTTAAACAAATTTCAAATTGTTAAAATAATAACGTCAAATGTGTGTCATACACACAAAAATTATGAAATATTAAATTGTCCACGAATATTTTTAAAACACTAAATATGCGTTTCAAGCGTATTTTTTGGTATTGTATGGCAATATACAGAGTGTTGCGTAACGTATGTGTCAGACAAATACTCAAGTATTTTTTTTAATGGATGTAGAAAGTGTTTTACAATCGGTCGCTATAAAACAATGAACTATTAAGTAGTTATTCATTAAATGTACTTGATACTAAATTTGCTTCTGAATTTAGAATTTGCAAAGTGTTTTTGCCCATTTTTTTTCGAAACAACGTATTTTGGAATAAAGCAGCAAATTAAAAAAAATAGTTCTGTAAGTTTAACAATTCTTAAATTATTAAACTTTATTGCTCATTTCAAAGTTTCAAACATATATAACATATACATTATTTCAATTTTTTATCGATTTCAAAATGCTGAATAAACAATTTCGAAATGCCCCTGCTTTCTTAAGCTTACCCTATCTATACAATGGGGTACCTAAATTTAAGATTTATTATCCACTGAGAGCTACCTCACAATATATTTAGGCATTCTCATTTCTTTAAATGGTATTTCTATTTATAGCCATAATGAATTGCTTTTAGCGACGGAGTTGTAGAATTCTTTTTTAATTAATATAATTGAATGCGACTAGTTCTTCTCATTATCGCCTTCCATTGAGTTCGCTCATTTTAATTATGCTTAATTGAAATGAAGCTTCGCAATGGAAAAGTGACAAAATCTCATTCAATATTAGAAACATAATTGAGTTAATAAACTTATTTTTTTCAGAATAACCATGGACACCCTTTACACAGCCCGACTACATGGGTATCCGACTTCAAACAGATCGGCAATGGACAACAATATAACCGAAGAAAGTGTCTTATCTCTGCTTATAGTTCTAGGAAGCAGTCTATCTTTGGTAGCTCTTGTTTTCGCCTTTATTACCTATAGGTAAGGATCGATTTTCAGAAAATAAAAGCTGCTTTGTTACAAATATCATTTGAGAAATAAAGTTTCTATCTCTTAAATCAGAAAGAAACGTAGAACACGCAAAGCTTTCACGAAACTGAAAGGCTGTCTTTCTTTCATCAGATAAGTCGGAAAAGGTATCGCCATGTCTCTGTAAAAGCAAAAACGGGCGGGCTTCAAATAAATGGATATTCGAATGCAAGATTTTCGATTTAGCAGTCAATGCGAATAGTGCAGGAATAACGATATATGGAAAACATATTTCATTGTGTGCTTCCCGAATACGAACAAGATCTATTGCTTTGATGGGTTCTGGCAAAATACTGCCAGCCATCAGTTGGTGTGAACGATTTTTGCCTAGTTTAGACGAAATATTGATTTTCAGATAAGTGATTTAAATAATGTATGGTTTTATGGTTTAACTGGTCTTATTTTTATAGAATTTGTTATATTCAAGATTCTTAATTTGAATGCCGTGCCTTGAGGCACTCAAATGGCGAATAATGGACGTGGAAAATTATTTAGCCTTCAAACTAGGAAATGTAGGGCTGCGCCATCAACCTCTTTACATTGACAATATACCTGGCTGCATAAAAATAAATATATTACCATTAAATTATGGCCTACAAACCGAATATTTTTTGACAAAAAAGTGGGACGAGAAATCCGAATGAAGCTAATCCAAACGGAAAGACACACTTTCCAAATACCACAGTAATAAAAATAACATTAATTAAATGTTCTCCGTGCTCAAAGAACGTCCCCTTATATAAAGGACAACCAACATCGAGATCAAAGTAAATTTTAAGTGTCATCCAATCAAACTTAACTAGATTCTCTGAATTTCTCGCCCGTCTGCTTCTGACGTCTCTATAACCATTCCAGAGGCATAATTATATTTTGCTTGCCAAAGCTTAGAACTAAAATTTATCGATTCTGTCATAATTATTAAACTCCAATATTTGGGCAATTATTTCGACTTGCGTTTGGGATGACAAGACAAAATTCATAATATTTAATGGAAAATTTGTTTGTTTTAACATGAAATTTTTGTCTTATTATAGAAGAAAAAGGTTTCCATTAATTTTAAGAGACTTTGATGCCGACATTCAAAAGGAAGTATATACTTTTTTAATCTTTGCACAGATTTGTTTCTTTTAGCCAGAAACTTCGGAATTGTCAACATTAGCCAGTTTCAACACGCGACATTGTAAATTGTCTTAAAGCAAAACTTATTAATTAAAACGCCGTAGAGTAAAATGGTTTAAAAACCCTTTGAAGTCTCTAAACTCAGACAACAGCAATATCGCATTCTAACTCCAAGTTCGATAGCCAAAAACTTTCCAAAATCTGTCCATTCTTTGAAAACCTTATTCAGATAGGTTTGAACGCATTTTGATGTGCGAAACGAGAATTTTCAAAGCTCCTAGGCCGACAAATATTGATTAATAATTGTAATTTTTCAAAACTCCAAGTCAAGCTCGGTTTAGGTAAGCTAAAAGTCAGACGAAGTTTTAATGTACCACTTGTCATTGATTTACCATTTAGAAGCGGCATTTTCTGGCTAAATGGGACAAAACTGCTGAAAAGTTCCCGTCAATGAAGTTTCAAGTTGATTTAATACAAAAAAACTCAAGCAATTTTGAGAACGAATAATCGTACACTTATCCGGATTTATTGAAAATATTTTCATCGGCTGAATTATTTGAGCTGGATTGTCCCAAAACACCCTAAATATTATTGATAAATTTACCTAACTTGAATGGCAAAATTCGCAAATTTCTCACTTGTATCTAAAAATTGCCCAAAATAAAACTTTGGAACCAGCATTGAAACATATATTGAGTCATTGGCAAGAAAACAAATGTGAAGTAATTTTTTTTATCAATACAAAGTCAAACGAGGTCTATAGAAACTAAAGCTGAAACATGCGGAAACTCATTGGAGAGCGGATAAGAATATTATAGACGCCCGGAGCATAGAATTGGAAGTTGATTGAGATGCGACAACGCCCATGTGCTAGTTTGCTCACAATAAATCAATAAAAGACTAGACTGGAAAACAATTACCGTGATAAATTTTAATTATAAGTTTCAGATAGAAAGCACCTTCATTAATTTTCAATTTAAAATTAATTGAGAAAATAAAAATTGAAAGAACCTGCAACTAATAATTAACAATATGTCGTGCTTCATCAATAAAAACCGCACTTAAAAAAATCACAGATCGCAATCTGCATAATTAGGCAATATTTCATTTTCAAGTTTGGAAATTCAAATTATTTCATACGATTCAAGCATGCCACACTAATTTTAACACACACTCTAATGGTTCGTGATAATTTAAATTCCGTTACACTATCAAATTGCATGATAAATTATACATAATGTGCATTTGTGACTGGCAAACATTTAAATTTCCATTTAAGTCCTACTAGATTTCAATGTAATTTGGAACTTTCTGCGTTACCTCCTGTAGTTAGGGAAAACTTTTAAGCCCGCATTAAATAGTTTCAAACCGTGAGTGAAATTCCTACAACCTACAACCACTATCCAATAGGTATTGTTTCCTTGTTCGAAGTCCGAGCCAGTTTTGCAATGTCCCTTAATTGTTACTAAAAGAGTTTCGAATTAAACTGCTCAATAAAATAAAGCGACTTTTAGTTTTCATTCTGATTCTGCAGTAGTTTTACCGGGTATTTAAGCGGAATAACCATCACAGGCATGCGATTGCTCAATTTCGAAAAGACGCATTGCCGCTCTAGAAATATCATTTGAAAGCCTCAAAATTGCCTATTCATAGAGTCCATTAAATGTAATTTATATACCTATGAATGCAGCGAGACGTAATTCTTTCCGAAGCCAATAATCAGCCGACCGTAGAGTTTCGCGGGCTTTTCACCTCTTTYCTTGAGGTAACGTTCGTTTTTCCTTTTCYTCGTCGGCTTTAATTTTGGTCGGCAAAAATTGAATTTYCGAATGTGGATTTCCACGCTTTCCYACATAAAAGAAACGCTYKCTTAAGTAAGCCTTTCACGATCATCCATCTTTGAGTAACGAGGGTATATTTTGGCAGATTGCATGCGAATTTTATGAAAATATTTCTTGGAAACTTTACCCATTATTTTCCAKCCCTCAATATGCTCGTGTGCTGAMGCCAAAAATACTGTTTTAAACTAAAAAAAAACCACCAAAAAATATATTGCAACAATTACAGATTTGTAAGGCTAAACCCACTGGTTTGGCACTTGAACTATATAAATATGTTTTAAGTTGCRTATTTATTAAATGTTYGGTATCACTTGAAGGAACTTTAGTTATTAAATTTGAGCTTATAAATTGTCTGTCGACATTCGCGGCCTCGTTAAATCCGAATTTGTAAACAAAGGCAGCGCGGAATGCAAAGAACAGACAAAGCGGAGAAGATTAACCTCCAAAGCTATTAAAAATTAATTTCGGTGAACCGTTTTAATATTTACAGAACTTCTTTCAGCATTTCAGAAGTTCTGAATAAAATCCGTAACTAGATGCGAGGCAGTAACATTATGGAGTGTGTTTTTAATTAAAAAATAATTATTTACATATTTTAGCATACAATTATTTGATTTCTTCCATGGCTTGAATATAGAAAATGATGGTTTTCCTATACGATAATGTTTTTCTAATTTTTCTCGCAAAGAGAAAGATCTCGCAAAGAGAAGTGGATCACAAATTTGAAAACATCTTCTTATTGCTTTCTCCGAAGATTTAGTTTTCAACTGAACTTTTTCTTCTAGAAATAAACATGTATCCTGCAAAGTTAATAACCATACGAAACCGAGTAACGAAACAGAGTTGAGTTCTCCATATATTAGACTAAAGCAGCTATTGATGCCTCTAGTTACGGGAACTCGGAAACGAATGGATATTTGCGGTCTGAATGTAACGGATTTTCGCAATGATATGGAGAAGTTCCAAATTGCCTTACGTAACGTGTTTCATAATATTCGTTCTCTTGAACTTTTGTTAATTTGATTTAGAATTGCCTCTGTTCAGCAATGGAGAGTTAATAACGATTTTCCTCATTTATCAGATTACCCTAACTAATATACGTTACTTTAAAGTTTCGTTTTTCAGTTATTTTTTACAGCATTGAAAAAAACTGAACAAGCAATTTCGATAAGCTGGTAGTTTAACCCACACTAACTTAGTCTTCTTATAGCACTTCGAAGCGCACTCTGTTGGAATTGGACAATTTTTGCTGACGGTTTAAACAAAAATTATGTTTCGCAAGCTTTCAATTTAGGTGAGTGTTTATCTGGAGCCAGAATTATCCTACACGTGACATTAAGTAGCTGCTTTTAAGGAAACTCTTCCTAATTTATACGGATTAAACTTCATCAGTTTGCGCTAAATTAACCCGGTTTTAGCCCCAAGGAAATCAATACGCATTAGAGATAGATTTAACAACTGTTAATTCCCATAACATGTATCCGACGACGTCCCGAATAAGTTTAACCTTAAACCTTCTCCATCCAACTCTGTTGGCTGTTCCACTCCCCAAACGAGAATTCCGACCCAAAAAAGCCGAATCAAGATAAATACGAACCGATATGGTTTAAATATACTCTAAATTTAAATGTCTTATCCATTTTGCTGAACTGGGGATTGCTTTTAGGGCAGAACCCCATTTTAGGAACTTTTCCGGGATTTAGCATAAAAGGCCAAACAAGGCCGTGTTGACGTCTACACTTCGGATAGAATACGCTAATTTATTGGCACACCACCTTTGAGTCAACACTCGCATTTCTTTGCTTTAGAGTAAAAGAATGCGCCTTTCGGGTGCTTTAAAAGGAAGCTTCATAGGGAAAAATTCTGTTTGAGGCCTTGATTTACAGACTTTTATATTGGCGCGGAAGTTGTGTAAAGGCACAACACAATATTCGTGAAAGCTTCCAAATGCATAATTCTGCAGCTTTGGATCGGATATAACCGTGTAAAGGC